TCCAGTTTTGTGACACGAGAATGGCACGAGAATTAGTGTACCGCTGAGTGTACCGCTATACACGTGGTCGACACGTAGTCGACACGTTGTTGATACTTTTTTGACACGTGACCCCGTCAACGGTCTGCTTTGTGCCAATGCCACTCGGTAAACGCCGATGTCGCGTACGACAAAGACGACTATCCCGTACGCGAAATAGTTGAGAATTGCATGACGTGGACCTGACGGCAAGGACAACTGCGAGGAGGCCCCTTTCGGTACCCCTGACGGGAAGGAGAACTGCAGAAGTCGACGAAGTCGAACGAGGAGGTCCCTTTTCCGTACCCCATACTGCAAAGTGCCATTGGTGGATACCTTTTGCACCTGGAACGACCCCTTAAACGCTGTCGCGGCGACTATCCCGTACGCGAAATAGTTGAGAACTGCTGACGTGGACCTTTTGCACCTGGAACGGCCCCGTAAACGCTGTCGTGTCGGCGGAGTGAATGTGCAGGGTACTAGGGTGAAAAGAATTGCTGCAAAGACGTCCCCTCTACTAGGCTCTAGGCCTTTGCCTTTGGAGACATCGTCGGCGAACTGAATGCGCAGGGCGAAAAGAATTGCTGCAAAGACGTCCGCTCTAGGCCTTTGGAGATATCGTGGGAACTCCTTCCGGTACTATACAAACTGCTGACGTGGCCGTGGACATGTACATGGAGAGTCATGGTGGGACTTCATGTACATGGATACATGGTGGGAATTCCTTCCGGCACCCCCGTACCGCAAAGCCAACGGTGGGGAAGGAGAAGTGGAGACGTGCAGGAAGACGAACGAGGAGGAACCAGGACGAGCGAGCAATGGCAGGACTAGCTGGACCGTAAGTAATAGCTGAATTGTGCATGACAACTTGACATCCATGCGGCACTCGCCACTTGCCACTGCATATTTCTTGTCCACTAACAATGTCTCTCTTCTGCCCCCTGTGTGTCCACGGCCCTGTTGCTGAATTGGCCCGATGAATCGGATGTCTTCCGCAGCTGGAACGGCCCCGTGAACGCTGTCGCGTCGGCGACTGAATGCGCAGGAGGGAAAATATTGCTGCGAAGACGTCTCCTCTAGACGACGGTAAGGCACCCCATTGATATGTTGCCAGTGTGTGCCAGGGTATCGCGCGATGGTGAATGAGGAATGATGAAGGGTACGGTGGGACTGTAGACCTGTTACCTTCTACTAACACGTTATCAGGTGGAGAGTGTCTTGTACTCACGTTATCAGGTCGAGAGCGTATTGTAGTCACTCTCTCTATTCCTGTACTTCATTACGTTTTTAAAATTAAAAGGTGTACGTATAACTTCTCCAAAAAAATTAATGGTCTACAGTCGTGTCGGAAGGGTACGGTGGGACTGTAGACATGTTACCTTCTAACACGTTATCAGGTGGAGAGTGTCTTGTACTCACGTTATCACTATATCAGGTCGAGAGCGTATTGTAGTCACTCTCTCTATTCCTGTACTTCATTACGTTTCAGGTGTACGTATAACTTTTCCAAAAAATTTAATGGTTCACGTCTTCAGATAGAGAGCGTATTGCACCCACTGTCTAGTCTCTGTAGTGCATTGAGATTTTGTTGATCGAACATGAAATGGATACACAGACAAAGCCAGGCCAAGTACATGGCGAGATGTCGCCAGAAGAACGTCTTCAGGTAGAGAGCGTATTGCACCCACTGTCTAGTCGATTTTGTGGATCGCACATGAAATGGATCATGTGACACAGACAAAGCAGGCCAAGTACATGAGAGAGTGGACGATGTGCAGATCGACACGGCCTGCGGGTACTTCATTAAAGTTACCCGTGACATAACTAGGATAAAAGTTAATCACTGCAAAAACATTGCCAAGTATGTGAGCACTTTGGACTTGACAGAAGAGTGCACGGGCGACGTTGACAAAACATATGGCGGTGACTGTCACTATCATGACAGCAGGGCACATCGCACGCAGCATCGCAGATCGTGTCGAATTGCGCATCATAATTATTGCAAAATTGCTCCTGTGCATGCAAGTGGATTTCATTGCACTTCTCAGTTTGGGAAATGCTCGATTATGACAATTCTGCGTGTGAGTGCACTAGCCCTGAACAGACTTGTAGGTGAACCGTTTGTGGTGTCTCATAGCCTACCTCACGACCTTCTGCTTTCTTTCTTCATCACTTGTATCTTGCAGGTATATCATCCCGTGACGACCACATTGAAGTCTGAATTTGAAGTGTGAAGATGCTTCAGCAACCACATCGTACTTTTCCATTGCTTTCATTGTGCTTCTACTGTGCATGTGTGTAACTTGTGGGGTAAACATGTGATGACATTGTATGCTGGCGACACGGTCAGATGTTCATGCGTCTAACGTACACCTGCATGTTATGCATTGAAAAGGGTTTGCCACTTGCGATCCTGGGACGAGTATCAGGTCCGCTTTGTCCTGTGTGGGCTGTATCAGATTGCTGTTCACTTCTCTATCTGTTGGATATGTGACTTTCTGCAAGTTTCTGGTGTATGATGGCCACGTCCTTGCTTGTCACTTTGTATGATATTACATTCTGTATTCGCTGCTTCCATGGCATGGTCTGCAAACTACAATCCTTGGGCAAATGTCATGTTTGCTATGTTGTGCTTTGGCCGTCAGCTTGTATACACGCTGTAGTTGAATTATTTTTGTTTCACAACTGACTTCCTCAAGTACGGTGGCCACTGCTTTGCATGGCATTATACATGAAGAATTTCCTGTTTGTGTCGTGTGCATGTGCGTATGTGTGCGTGGCCACGTGTGTGTGCCGTGTGCATACACATGTTTGTGTAGTTGGGGTGGGGAGGGAACGGAAAAAGAGCTGAAATTATCCATATAAAAATCGCTCTGTGAGCGGTTCTGAAAAACCTTTACTGGTACTACCCTGTCGTAAAAGTAAGAAATTAGAACTGGCCCATTGTCCCCCCAAATGCGAACTGAGCCACCTAAATCGCGAATGACGGGACCCGAACGCACCAGTAGCACGAGGTTCCTACCTGTGGATGCAGATGGGGACGTTGGTCCGGACCATAGGCCATGTACTGTACTAGCGGTAGGCTTCCCTATCAAAATAATAAATTCTACTGCTACTACTGGTGTTACCCTATGATAATTGCCGTGATCCTGTGCCCTCCCGACCTCGTGCTACTGGTGCGTTCGGGTCCCGTCATTCGCGATTTAGGTGGATCAGTTCGCATTTGGGGGGACAATGGGCCAGTTCTAATTTCTTACTTTTACGACAGGGTAGTACCAGTAAAGGTTTTTCAGAACCGCTCACAGAGCGATTTTTATATGGATAATAATTATTATAGGATTTTGGTCATATTTTTCAACTCAAAATGGGTGTGGCATATAGGGAAACGCATGTGACCTTCCGTGTTAGGTCTTAGTAGATATGGAGAGTTGAATAAGATATTTTTTTCAAATAGTAACATCTAAGGCTCATCTCCTTGCGCAATATTTCTAAGGCCTGTGCCCTATTTTTCGAATCCTATAACTATATAGGATTTGAGATTTTACTGGACTCCCCCCTTGTTTTATCCTTAAAATTGGTAGTTTCACGACGGCATGTGCGATATGTCGTCATGAAACCACCCCGTGCCACACCTGTAAAGTTCTTTTGCACATTCACTGCTTCAGTCCTTCCCATGACACCAGCCGCAACAATGCTGCTCAAAGGTCCAATTCTTGCTCAAAATGGGTATTCATGATGTCCTATGAATCTAAAAAGTAAACATTCATGCCTCAAACATATTTACAGGTTCTAATATTACGAAGTAGTGGTTGCGACTTCGGCGATGATTTGTAAGAAAGGGTTTGCTCCCCACACCGGAGCTCACGCTATTCCGCCGATTTTACTTGACACTTGACTGACTCACGACTGCCATCCAGAGCACACGAGAAGTCCATCGAACCTTCGACTCGGCAAACCTGCAAGAAAGCACCACTCCCTGCTCAATACACAGTGTTTTGGGGAATTCACCCCTCATCAGTTGAGCTTGAGTAGGCTGAGGAAGATTGTGCGTGAAGAGCACCACTTATATAGTGCTCTCCAGGCACAAACATCACCAGGGATACAAATTTACAGAGACGCTCCGTTTCCAGGGCGAAAAACACCTCGTGAACACCAGATAGCAGCGTGAGTCAGTGTCGCTCCTGGACGGTGAGACAGACGTCGAGGACCCTCGGTCATTGTTACTCGTATAAGGCTTGGGCGGATAATGCCGCTGGAAATAATTATGTACCGGAAAAGTACAGTCTCTGGCCTGAGAAATCCGACCAGCGCACGAATAATTGCGCCGTGGGCAACGAACACCACACATAACACTCTGCTAACTTGTTACTTGAGCACGACGTTGCTTTAGCCTTAAGTCATGAGGTCGGATTGCTCCGGCCAGAACTGTGCACTAACATCATGTCCAGTACCAAATTCTGCCGGGTGTTTTGAAAGCATTTTCCGCCAAGCCCGCGCCAAGGTCTTCAACTTGCAGTGCAATGAACACAAGAGGAAACACCTAAGCCATGGTTGATGAACTCTTGCACACACCAAACGAGATTCAGAGGGCTTGGATCAGCCAGATCAAGCCTGACCGTGTGTACCGACCCGTACACTTTCTTCGCAATCCGAGGCTATCGTCTACAGATGATACACATAAAATATCAAATCACACGCCGAGTCCTGGAGCCGTCCAGCCTCCAGGGCAGCATAGTCGTAACTCAGGAGGGCTGGCTGTGACATAGCAATTTCAAGACATACAGTGTCAGTATGCTACCATAGCGGACATTGAAATCCGCTGCAAAGTCAAGCAGCCACGAGGCGCTGGCCGTGCAGCCGTGACCAGTGCTGGTCCATGTGTTTTAAAGTGTCACACAGTGCATGTACACGTATAAGCAAATAAGACCAGGGTGCCGGCCCCGTGGCCCGGTCTAACACTGGATTTCTATGTTCACAACAGTAGTAACGTAAAAAGTTGAAAACAATGATTTGTAGTATTATCAGCATACATTATAACAATACTGACGTTAACCATGTTTCAAAATGAGCCAGGAGACAGCACACATGTTTGGGATTACAACAGATGCGGCAGTCAGCAAGCAATGTACATATGAGAAGAACAGAAACTGTGACGAGGTCGTAAGCGGCTACGTTGAGAAATACAATAGTCAGTAGTTATTCTATTTGACTCTGCTTTGCAGGGCACTGAGGCAAAGCTTCACTTGGTGCAAGTACCACCTGTAGCTTCAGTCAAAAGTCACATCATCTACAATACACCAGAATGACCGACCGTGAAAGTCATCGGTGAGAGCAATTCCGGGCAAGATGAAGTGTAACAAAATTGTCTTGCATCAAGAATTACATGCATGTGTAAAAATTGTTTGGCACTGCCTTGGCCGTTCCAAATTCCAATAAGCGCAGACATCAATTCAGAGCAGAGAAAGACTGTACAGTAGTGTGCAGGACTAGATAGAATACTTGCTTCCCCCGCTCAAGTTCAAGATCAACTGGTCCTGTGCATTGGTGTGCTTGGTAATGATACGACATCCACCTAGCAAGCTCGGAGTCTCTTCCAAAACAAAGGACGGTGTCTGAGGAAACAGAAGACAATTGCAGGGAGAGAGAGACTGGAATCAGAAGAAAAATCAGAGGTCTTGTTGGTGTAAAAAAGAGAAAGGACACATGGGTTACGAGTTATGGCAAGCGTACATGAAACCCAGAGTGTGCAGCTTGGGGCTTTTTCTACTATGGGTGTCTGTCACGGCGGAATTCCGTGATTACATCATATTTGGAGCAGATCTGAGGCGGGAAATGACGTAGTGCGTACAACTGAGCTGCAGTTGTGCAGAAAGAGACCTGCTTGAATCCTGCTTGTATGCACTACATCACTAAAATGATGTAATCACGGAATTCCGCCGTGACAGCAACCCATCCGAGCTGCACACTCTGGTTTTCATGTACTCTTGGTTATGAGTAACTGTTCACTACTGTAACAAGATAATAAGCAGTCAGAAAATGTGATCACTAAGCACACAACTGACACCGTATTTCGTGGCCAAAAAAATGGGGGTGCGGTTTATACTCCAGTGCAGCTTATACTCCGGAAAATACGGTGGGTGGTTGGAGGTGACAGCATGGCGAATGGCAAATGGCCGTCAACGTCTCAAGGGTCCACAACGCTTTAATCGTCATCACGTGATGCACCATGCCTGGTGCAAGTCCAGTACCGTATCGTTCCGACAGAGAAAGCTGGCCAGAAATTTAAATAGGGCTTTCAACGGCAAGGAAGCGGAAGGATTTTTTCCAGCCGTGCTGCGACCCACAGTTAATTGGGAACTCGTGGCCTGGCACGAGGGAAACATGGATGCAGTGAATGGGATTTCGGTCTTTGACCACTTTGTGGTGGGTCTGATCTACTCACCTCCCACCGCTTAGGAGCTGCATCTGCGCCTTGATCCAAGAGGGTGGTGGCGTTCCTGCGGATGCGGAAAACTGGGCCTTTGGCCGAGTCTCACGCGAACCGTGAATTTTTTTTTTTTTTTTTTTTTCAACGGCAGAACTGTAACGTGAAGTAACTTGGTATAATGTGTATGTATATGAAGTGTATCGAGGGAATGCATGCAGGGCGATAGGTGCGGTTCAAATCCCAACCTGGAAAACGAGACGGCTTAACCCTTTATGTACCGCGCCTCTAATGTATGTAAGGGGTCCCCCGCTTCACATATATACTCATATCTCAAGACCGACAGATATTTTGTATGGACATGTTTTGTTTTTCTGAAAGTAGATGGATGAAGGCTTGCAGAGAAGCAATAGTCAAGACCAGATCTCAATTGGTGTTACAGCGGCATGTCCTGAAAATTATCAAAAAGTGCGAAAATAGCAAAAAATCAAGAAGTCCTGACAGCACAGCCAAGGCTATATCAAATTATACAGTTATGTTTGTACACCAGTCATATTTCCACTATAATACACTCACGGAATAGAGTTTTACTCAGCATGATAAGCTGCAAAGCAATTACGCTCTGAATTTAGGCAGAAATGAGCGGGATTTTTTTGCGGTTCTTGCACACTGAACACGCAAATTTGGACTTCGGTGGACCGATGCCTTTGCAAACCACACAGTTTCTGCTCTCTTCAGTAAACACTGGTAGATGTGGTGGTGGTTTTACTACAGGCTGTGGCCTTGCCGATTGGTTATACAGTGGAACCGGCGTGTCATGGTCAATATTACACAACTGCCGGACGATGGCCAGCCGCGGTACTCTAACTGGGTCATGGTGCGGTCACCACCGAGAACACCTGGGTTCTGTCTAGACCAATGCTCATAAAGAATGAATGAATTGACAGCAGCTACCTCTACAAAATCCAGAAAGTGTTTTCCAATTTTTTTCGTTTTTCTCAGTATACGAAACGAAGAAACGAGTTGATCGAATTTATCACCATCGCCCCTTGCCATATTGTATTCCTGTACTGTTGCTGGCTTCTTTACAGTAACATTATGTAGCTGACCATGATGTTTTATAGTTCTATTTTCATTCACATATTCCGTAGCACAGTGGATATTGGATATCATTGTCACACACCGTTTATCCATCCACTGCAGCTGCAGCAAGCCACCGTCCCGTATATACCGCATATCGGACCGCTGGGCGCGTCGCTGGTATAGTTTGACGTCCTTCAGCAGCGGAGAAAATCCACGGCGATTAGCCTGGCATGTTCCGCAAGCTCTTGTGTTGTAATTATCAGCTAGGTCATTATACAGCATTGGCGAGGAATAAAAATTATCCGTGTACAAAAAGTAGCCTTGATTTGGATATGGTTCCATCAGATCTGTCACAGTGCGGTGAGCTAATCCCACATCCGCTTGGCCAGCTTCAGCACGCCCCAGTGTATATCTTGAAATTGCACAAGTACGAACTATCACTATCACATAATGCAAATACTTTCACTCCAAATTTTACTGGTTTATTTCTAATAATACTGTTTGTAGCTAAAGCGGGCTTTCGTCTTGACCATTCGCTCGTCTATGGCGATGTTACGGCTTGGTTGGAACAGTTGACAGCTAGTAGTACATATGTGATCGCATAAATATCTAACTTTGTGCAATTTGTCACTACGGTCTTCTAAGGTGTGGTCAACTACACGCAGAAATGACAGCAGAGCTTGAAACCTAGTCCTAGTTGAAATCATAGCACGCGCCCAGGTTCCGTGCAAAGGCGGCGCTGTGCTCCAGTAATGCTGGATTCTAGGCAATCTAACAATGCCCATGTACAATAACAGCCCTATGAAGTTGAACATCTCATCTACATTTGTATTTTGCCAGTGCCCATCGTTGGTTGCATAGGATTGGCGAGAAGCAATGTGGCGGTCAGCATAACTATTTGTGAAAAGTACAATTGCAGAAACTACAGCACTAGAAAAAAATAATTGGAAAAAATCTACCTCACGTGTTGGCTTGAACTGGGGAGAGAAGTGGCATCCTGGCACACGAACCGGGGAGAATACGGGAAGAGCTGGGGCGCTGTCCTGATCATCCCAAGATCGAGTTGGCGTACCTCCGGCTCCTGCTGCCGCAGCGATAGGTATGGCTGCGCCACGACCTCGTGCGCGACCTCCGCCACGACCCGCACGACTTCCGCCAACTCCACGGCGAGCACCAGGACGACTGCCACGACCAGTGCCACGAGAGTGTGTGGCGCGGCGAGATTCACGCCTGGCAGTTGCAGGCTCGTCACCACTTGAACTATCAGCTGATTGCTGATTGTCAGCATTGTCCTCTCCAGAACTGCTTGCATCTCCAAAAATTTCTTCCGCCGTCTCCTCTACTTCTATCGCTTCAGCCGTTTCAGTTTCGCCCTCGCTGAGTTCGTCGCCAAGCAAAGCGAGATCGATATCTTCCTCCTCATCAGATCAGTCGCTTGAATCAAGATTTGAGGCGTCTGAATCGCCTCCATGGAGCACAAAGGCGATCGCGTCTTCAAGCTGTACTGGTTGCGCGGCCATGGCGAACTGCAACTTCTTCTTCAAGTCCAGCGCTGTGTAGCGCAAAAAAATCAAATGCAAACCCCTATACTATCATACGCTATGATGTTCAGTGGGATCTCAGCTTCCCGTTGCAACAAGCCGCGTGAAAATCACGCGTAGGATCCCGGGTGACGGCGCAGCTAAGCGCGGCGCGCCCAACCGTAACTGTGTTTACGGTTCGAGATGGGGCTGGTACATAAAGGGTTAAAGTCCAGGAGCCCTCGCTATACTTTATACTTACCTAAGTCATCAAATTGTGTTGTTGTGCGAACTTATAGAAACATCTTTGCAATGCAAAAACATGTGCCCGATAATCGTTTTGCAAAGACGTTTCTATCAGTTCGAATAACACACGTGATGACCTAGGTAAAAACAAAGCATAGCGAGGGTTCCTAGGCTTTGAAGCCCTCTCGTGATCCTAACCAGCCGGGAATAACAAACAGTTCCTTACCAAAGTACGCTGTAAGATGTGACTGCCAGTGACCATCACTGCTTGGGTGCCAGTAGATGTTTGAATACTGGAATGTGATCGGGATAATTGATCATAAGATCAGGAACAAATCGGCTACTTTTCTGGGTCTTTGCTGCCCCGTGTTCAAGGATCATCTGTGCAATAAAGGGTGTAAAGCACACACACACGCACACACGCACACACACACACACACACACACACACACACACACACACACACACACACACACACACACACACACACACACACATACACACACACACACACAAACGCACACAAACGCTGCTACAAGAACTGGCGTACGTGTATAAAATACCATGCTGCTACATGAACTGTAGCCAGGCAATCTTGAACTTGCCCTTTAGTTGTTACCTGTACTACCCCTCCTGTAATCATGGTAATGTTACACCTAGGCTCTGCACTCATGTGACTTTACCTGTACATGCACATACACTGTACTACCACTGTACCAGGAGTACATCATGATAATGCACTCTTTAAGATGTATACAGCCTGGTCAAACTGATGTTCATGCAGATGTCCAACACTGACAAAGCCATAACTATGTGCAAGTTGATTCTTTTGACTCCTATAATCTACTATACAGATACATGATGATGAACAGTAAAATGAGAGAGAATGACCAACAGGTGTCTTCCAATTGATTCAATATCAATGTCCAAACTCCCCACCACATGTGCTCTCCAGATGATCTGGTTCAGCACACCGGTAAAACGACTCCTTAGGCACAGCAGGGTTCTAGCTAAAGGGACTAAGGCTAGGGGGGGGGGGGGGGGACAGCGTCGCCCCATTCTGATGCCTCCCCCCCCCCCCCCTCCCTCACTCTTGTAGCGCACCACCCGACTCATTTTTCGACTTTTGTGTGTTTTTTAAGCTCACACAGCGAAAATGCGGCCACAAATCGATCGTTCCGGGTGCTCCGTGCGCCCGCACGATGCATTATCTGGTGACAAGGCAATAGTGGAACATGAAAAAATGGGTGAACTGTTTGCTGTCCCTTACCCCTCCCCTACAATATATTCCTGGCTAGAACCCTGTACAGTGGACAATGATTCTTTCATACAGCTGCTTGCATCATACAGATCTCATGGGCAAAGTCCAGGAATACAAAAATCATTACATTTCAGCCACCTATGCCATCTCTATGTGTCCTGCTCCTTCCTACTTTAAACTCACCGGAATACAGTAGCATCCTTGCCACTTCAGTGCCGATGCTTCAAGAACAAGATAACCATTGGGAACATGACCTGGATGACGTAGTAGTAGAGTATCGTTCACACCCCGGCAGGCCACAACACTGAAACCATGACGTGTAGCTGCAGTCATATCTACTGATACACCATTGTATACATTAGCTGGATACGCGTCAGTCTCCACTGGTTCATGGTCTTGGTTGTATATGCACAATGCCTGAATTTCCACACCATCAACCGAAGATAAGCCAGTGGTATACTTTGGACCAATGAAGTATGACAGCATGTCATACATTCGACCTGATTGCTGACTTTTCACATTATCCTGGAACCTCACTGAACACTTGTCCATTATCTGTTGTCGTTGATTAGCAGTAACAGGGAGAGTGTTGTGCAAAAGTAGCAGTTGCAGGTGTGTGCCATCGCATTCTGTTAACACACAAAAGATTCAAAAATAGAGAGAAAAAAGGTAATATGATACAGAGAGGGACAGACGCCTAGATTGACAGACAGACACAGACACACCCACCCACCTACATAGCCACACACACACACACACACACGCACACACACACACACACACACACACACACACACACACACACACACACACCATTGGACCATTGGACGCCCATCGCGGTAGGCGATGATAGCGATGCTACAGCAGGAACCATAGCAACTTGTGCTGGGATTGCACCATTCAACAGCTTGCAAGGCTGAAGAATTGGCCGCCACTATTCAGCCTGGTCTACACCACACAGCTATGAAGTGGCTTTTTCTGGCCAGTGAATCCCTACTTGTTGGTCTTTTACACACACAGGCACACACACACACACACACACACACACACACACACACACACACACACACACACACACACACACACACACACACACACACACACATACACAAACAGACAGATACAGACCACCACTATAATTATATTAGATTGACTTGTAGCGACATGACTATGAACAGAAGTGTGACGTCTGAAGATGATCATCAGTGACTTTCACATCAACTTGATAAAACACCAAGCCAAAGTACACAAGAGGCCTTTAGTCTCTGAAATCCATAAAAAATAATACCTATTTACTCCCATCTCCTCGGTGGTCATGACTATGGAGCAAACATTTCTATGACACGCAAGTGAAAGCACACATGTCTTTACTGGATACAGTGTAGCTTGAACCATAGACACCATACCGTATATTCTCTATTATAAGCGCCGTGCTTATATTTTTTCAACACCCCTCTACCCCGTGCTTATATTGGAGACCGCGCTTATATTGGAGACCGTGCTTATATTTTTTCAACCAATACATCCATACAGAGAAAGAAGAAATACATGCTAGATATCATGCATGCCGCATTGATTTCCAACAAGGCCGTGCTAATAATAGAGACCGTGCTTATAATGTTTCGAAAGGTGCTCAAAGTGTGCTAGTATTAGAGACTGTGCTAGTAATGGAGACCTGTGCTTATAATAGAGAATATACGGTATTTTTAAATCAAAAATAAAGCTTTAAATGTACTTGAACAGCGAGGTGAGAAATAAAAGAGTATCGCTGTGTATTTGTATTGCAGTGTTCTTTCACAGCAGCTACATGTGTTTAGAAACACCACAACCAATAACAGACACTACAGTCTCTATACAACAAACATTACTCAGAGAATAGACTTACTCTGTATCAGTTGATCAACACTGATCAGCTTCAGCAAGGCACTGCACTCTACACCACACAGTGTACAGTAGAGAAGTAGTGAGAGTACTTCAGTATGACGATACTTGGGATCACCTGTACTCTGGATGGTAACATAGCGATTCATCAAGTTTCGCGCCAGGCAACGGTCTGGTGAATTCAATATGAACAGTGCATGGGCACAATGGTCAACACATCTGCATTGATCAAGGCACAGGACATCAAGCTGCTGCTGAAGTAACTTCCTGAAATCTGGACTTGTACAGCGACACTTTGCTGCCCAATGCAGTACCCATCTCAGGTGCTCTTGATTCTTGTAATCTCGCCAGATATCAGTGGGTAGACTGGCTAGTTGATGCAGTGCAGATACTGCCAACTTGGTCACGTCAGTGTTCTCCTCCGTGACCAGAGCACAAGCCTGTAGGATACTCATAACCTTGGTTAGACTCTGCAGTTCAGTTACATGCCGTTGAATAAGAGCACATTGAGATATCAAATCAATAGCTTGAAATGTGCGTGTCTTGTGAATTCTATAGAAGATTGATCTAATTGCGTTATAGGCATCTCGTACAGTAGTGCCATGATAGCCAGGCCGAATTGACTGATACCTCACACCTGGAATGGAGTGTGGTGATGCCGGAGTGGATATCAACTTGCCAGTAACATTGAGTTTTGACGAGGCTACTGTGCTCACACCATAGCCATGCTGAACAAAGTAACCGACACTCTTGAGATTGCCATGTAACTTTGAAGCAAACATGCTGTGTTGGTGTATTCTCTTCAGCAAGACTGATCTCCACCACCTCCTACAGCACATAACAATAGCACAAAACAGCACAGTGACTGGTCAACACAACTCCATAAACAGCATCAAATCAACATCACTCCTTGTACAGCGTACACTGTAGATCACTCATTGTGTGCTGAAACAGAGTCGCGGAAGTATTATGTATCGCTGTAGAAAATTGAGAGGGGGGGGGGGGGGGCAGCAACAGATTTGAGTGTCCACAGAAGTGTAAATTCCGCAGTTCCCGCAGTTGTATATTATTAGGTATTTACATTTCGGGGGGGGGGGGGGGGAGGGGGTATCGCTAGAGCGGTTCCACCCCTATCGCTAGAGCGGTTCCACCACTCTCAGCTGCATGCCACACCGGGGCCCTTACAGCCTTCAGGTGGGAGCCGGGAGGCGAATGATTGAAAGATTCTCCTATTTTTTAGGCGAGTGGACTCAAACTCGCAGCCCCGTAACTCTGCTGGAAGACACCCGAGGCACACACTATAGTATGTAGTGTGCGAATAACGACAGAATTTCCATGCCCAGAGCAAAGTCCCATCTAACTGTATTACATATAATGAGACCTAGGGCATAAGGACACTTCGCGAAAAAGGACACTTTTCTGATGCCCCGCCGAGTATCGTTATACGCAAAGTAATTAGTTGACTGTATAAGACAGTACAAGGATAGAATTCAATTCAGGAATAATATCCAAACGACGACACGCAGTCCGAAACCTCTCTGACAGGTAACACTTCACAAGGAACACCTTCTCCTTCACCAACCTCCAGGGTGCAACAAACGACGTACTACTTTCACCAAAGCGTTTCCTGTGCTTGTTGGTATTTCCCCAGGAGGCACGAAAATAATAATTCATTAATATGGAAAGAAGTTTGAGGCGTGGATAAATTTGTCAATGTCAACTGATTATGCATACACCGACGCAGCAGAGCCAAGCAACACGACGATCTGAACAGAAATTTAGTGTGGTCGCTATGTACAGGTGGTCTCCTTATCAAGTGTCATTTGACTGGAAACAACACTCCTCGGTCCTAGTTGTAGTGGTTGTCTGGGACAGGTGATCACCTTGACATGTGTCACTAGACATGTATCTCCTTTAAAAGACTACAGCGACAACGGATGCCCAAGAACATCCAGGCTAGAAAGTCACGAAATTTTTTAAGAATGTGCCATGCTGGAAGCAAAGTTTCCCCAGTGAAAGTGGGGTTTTTTCATGTTACACTGCATGCACAGTATACCTGTACTGTGTGAATGTACGAGCCCAGAATTAGAACAAAGGCGCTGGAATTTTGAGAATACATGTAAGAACATCACAGGGTGAAGGGGACCCCCCGTCTTCGGCGCATGATGTTTCTGATTTCACTGATGAGCTACCGAAGTGGGTGCCTGCAATCTGGTCTTCCTCGCTTTTCAACACCAGTTTCAGGCACCCCGTAATCCACCAACTACGGTAGCCAAAAACGTAAGCATCCTCCGCCGGAGTACTCGATAAAATCAATTTTGTTCCATTTTTGTCCAGAGAAAAGTGTGCGAACACTCTGCGCGTCACGCTTATCAGCATCGAGCACCATAATACCATCATGCCTTCAAGATGAATGGATTACAGAAACACTGCCTATCAGTTGTTGTTCAACGGTTTGTTTGAAATCTTTAATCTCTGTTCTTGTTGTTGTTGTTGTTGTTGTTGTTGTTGTTTGAAATCTTTTCTCACGATGGCCTGTGGCAAATAAGAGAAGTTGTTGTTGTTGTTGTTGTTGTTGCTGCTGCTGCTGCTGTTGTTGTTGTTGTCAGTGTTGTTGTTGTCGTTGTTGTCAAATGCAGAATGGAACAACAGCATCAGGCACCATAAAGGAATTTATAATGTTATAACCATTGCCTACCTGTGTCCGTCTTCAGTGCTGGAGAGATGCTGTCCAGTCGTTGATTTATCTGCTCAGTGTTCAACTCCTGATACTTTTGTCAGCATCGTTACTAATAGTAATAGTAATACTAGTAGCTACTCACCAGGGGTGAACTGAATTACTTCGGACGTCACGGTGGACAATAGCCAATAGGACAAAAAAAAATAATATTTCACGACCGTCGGAGGTGGAGCATTACAACCCGTGCAGGTATGGAGGTGGCGATATCCGAGAACCAGCGAGAGCTACAATTGTAATCAATGACTGCAGATCTTGTCTCGCATCGAGCAGCTGCGTGCAACGGCTGATGGCACAGTATATACTGGGCATGGGTACAGGGCTTTCCGATAACGACGCCGGAATTCTCCAAGTATAAATCAATGGTAATATGTACTTGCTGACAAAAAAATACAAAACACCGCATGCCAGAAAATTTAATTTGACAAAATCACTCGGGGCCGGCGCCGCGCGCGCCATAAACTGGCATACCTGTACATACCGGCAAGAGTGCAATTAAGGTGGCTCACGCCTATTTCAAAAAAATTAACGATTGCTCTGAAAATTTGGTGGGTGGTTGCGCTTAGGTAGTGTATGCAAATGGCGAGTTAAAAAAACGGGGTCTCAATGCTAACTTTTGAGATATAGGCGATGACAATTTCACTAAATTGTCAAATTTGTACAGGATTTGTGATGTATAGCGGACGGGTATTTCATCAAGAACCTGATTTACAATCTTCCTCATTTTTTGGTTATTGAATGGACTAAATGTGTACATGCCAGTGAGAAAATAAAAAACATATGCTTCAATGCTCAATTTCGCCATATACAGGCGCAGAATGCCTTTTTGATAAGTTTGCTTTGGTGCATGTACATGCACACCTACATATCTCATATACATGTCCGTATACATCTACTCTTCTCTACTAGCCCCACCCCAACCCTGCAATACACATTGACACATGTGTACACATACATACATACATACACACACACACACACACACACACACGCACGCACGCACACATCTACCCTTCTCTACTAGCCCACCCAACCCTGCAATACACATTGACACACGTGTACACACACACACATACCATACACATACCACCCACATACCATACACACACACACACACACACACACACACACACACACACACACACACATGCACACACACACACACACACACACACACACACACACACACATGTGCACACATACACACGCACACGCATGCGTGCAAACACACACACACACACACACACCTGTCCTGTCGAGCCACTACCACTAGGGTCACGTGGGCCCCGGAGGGGCAGCAGAGAGAGAGAGAAAGAGCACGCCACCCGATGGCGCTCCAGACACACACCATTGGACGCCCATCGCTGGAGTAGATGATAGCAATGCTACAGCAGAAGCCATAGCAGCTTGTGCTGGGATTGCACCATTCAACAGCTTGCAAGGCTGAAGAATTGACCGCCACTATTCAGACACACACACACACACACACACACACACACACACACACACACAACTACTACTACTACTACTACTACTACTACTACTACTACTACTACTACTACTACTACTACTACTACTACTACTACTACTACTACTACTACTACTACTACTACTACTGCCACTGTAGCATGGTTGCCCACGGGCCACACCATTCCGAAAGAAGCCAGAGTCATTGTCAGGAGCAGAAACGGAGATGACGACTCAGGTCACTCTGTCGACGGAACTGACGGCTGCAGCGAGAACAGCGGACACCATTATGACGCTCTGTCAGACTTGGTTGCCCGATGGCCACGGTCGCACGTGTGACGTCTGAAACCAGGCGCTGACTTGAATTGCCGATTGCATGTCAAACACAAGAGAGAAGCTTGGAAGCTGAGCGGAATAGATGATGCCGGTGCGGACACTTTCGATGGTTCCAGGGGCAAACAATGATGCACACGCAAGCCACCACGAGAGTGAAACCACCTTCTGCATGTACCACACTGCACAGCACCACGCTGATCCTGGATGGGGAGACTTCGCTCTGCGCCACATTTGTGCCTTGTTTGTCACCTGGCTGGCGAAACGACCGATGGCAGATAAGACAGTACCGTCCACCCGCCATGCAGAACTATCCTGAGCAACCCCATACCAGGCCAGACACACACACACACACACACACACACACGCACATTCACAAACGTGCGCGTAAACAGTGACTAAACACACACGCGCATACACACAAGGCCCACACATGATCGCATGCCTGCAGACCATCGCTCCAATGAAGATAAGATTACTACTTCTTTGCGTAAATATGTTTGAGATAGAGTGTCACTCTTAGATGTGACTGATGCCATCCACCAATGTCAAGGAAAACAATTCACGGTTCGCGTCAGACTCGGCTAGAGGCCGAGTTTTCCGCATCCGTAGGAACACCGTCATCCTTCAAGGATCAAGGCGCAGATGCAAGGAAAGAATGTTTTCAATCTTCTTCTGCACACGTAGAAATAGGTTTGGGCATTTTCGATGATTTAGAATGTACGTCGCGTGAATATGACAATGTGACAAAGGCAGCCACAATTTACTGATTACTGTGCATTGATCTAGCTATATACACTGCAAGTGCACTGTAAATATTGTGTTACATGCACGTAGTTGTGAAGAGAGACAGTATACATGTACATTCACCAATGACACACCTGTCAAACAGCAGGTTAGGGCTAGTCAAAGTTATGAAGGCACCATATACTATACGAAGGCACAATTTTGCGATGTACTCGAGTTTGTGAATATAGTGGACTTTGTGTTCACACATACTCTACCAAATTGCCATGCACACCCTTGTAACACACACACACACACTTGAGCCTGGGGAGCATGATTGCTGTCAGCCAGTGTTGCTTTCAAATGCTTATTCTCGTCAGGAGTGATGTGAAACACATACTGGTAAATATCAATCTCTAAAAAATGCATCCTAAATAAAACGCTCGAGCACTGAGTGATAAGACAATAAATTGAAGGAATTTCTCAACAAAAACTCAGTGTACCGCTGTGATCAAGCCGTGGCAATAACTATAGGAGAGTTCTTGGTGGACAGCGATTACCATAAAGAAATGGTGAGATACTACAGTAGTACCCTCTACTGACACAATGCAACCACGTTGTCCAGTACATGTTCGAATCAAAAATACTTTCGTTCGTTCGTGACCATTTCAATTTATATGCAAGGGCGACCTCCACAATCCACTGGCTTCAGAGTCGATTGATCATTATAGAACGGCCATTCTTGACAAAATAGTCAGACAAATTTTGTGAAGGATGGCGTTCTACTGTGGAAGGGACTCGCCAAATAACTTGAACCAATTCAACGAAAATACAAAATACTCAGGTTTTACACATTCACGTACCCGTCTGTGCCGTCCCCCATTCCTTCCAAGACATCCACATAGACTCCAACGCCTTTATTCTACTCTTTTTCCGAAGCCGACCATGGGCATGGGCAGTGCCTGCTGCAAGGGACATCCCAAAACTTCTCTGACAGGTGACAATTTCCACAAGTAAAAAATGCACCTCAAAAAAAGTAGCCAAGTGAAGGAGTGAAAAAAAGAAGAAAAAAGCTCACACTCTAGACTCGAGTACGAGAGTTTCGTACTCAGGCCATATGCTCGAGCTGGATCCTGGTGAAAGAGAAGACCCCTCGAACAAGAACGAGTCTCCAGAAGCAATCGAGTCGAGCAGGAAGACGACTTTTGAATTTCGCCGAGCGAGCGCTGATGACGTAATGAGGGATTAGCTTGCCAGTGGAAATGCATCTGCGCACATACATTTCACATACTTTTTGGCCAATTTTCAATCGAAGAGGAGGTTGTTTTCTATGTTCTCTCAACGTCGTGAGCGATCCCGTCTTCTATACCCTTCCAGGTACCCTGAAGGTCCTCCAGAGGAGAATTTATCTCCAGCGAAGCGTTGTTGATCCGCTAAATTCGTCTCGAGACATATTCACCCAGTGCAGTGCTGATAAATGTAGAATGTTGAATCTGTGATAATTGTTGACGATGGAGAGAAAGGCTGATAGCCGCTGTCGCAGGGAGAGTTAAGCTGCTGGAAGTAACAACAGGGAGCCCGTTTGTATCACCTGAACAACCAGACTTCAAAGCAGCTTGACCAAATCGGAGGGTGCCTCGTTGCTTATCGTGAATATTACACCGACATGAATTACTACAAGTACACTGGTGAGTTTTTATCTTGTTTTGTTCGTATGCTAGTGTAACGGGCCGCAGTCTCTCTCGGAGGCAAATGCAGACGGGTCTCAGTGAACACACTGTTAATAATTATTAAACATTAACTCTGACTCTAACTCTAAACTGACATGAAGAGAATTGTGAACAGCAGCTTTTATAGGGTGAGGAATTGTTAGTGTAAGTAAGCTAGCCTATAGCCAGGGGATACGTAGAGTAGAAGAAGAAAGGTCACAGTAAGATGTGTGGGCCACAGTCATTGCACAAGGAATGCCATTTGATTCTATGCAGAAGAAGGAGCTGAATGCAGTGTGGGCAATGGGCGTAAAAGAGGTACCGGGAAGACAGCCATTAGGAATTCTAAGGAAGTCTCATTAGGATGTGTGTAGATAAATGAAAAGGAGGTCGAAAGTGAAATGTATCAAAAGGGTCTACAGGGTACATGTGCTAGTATTCCTCAGGTCATCCTAGTGTGTGGGAGTAATACATGAACACAGTGAGACTAGTTACTATCCATGTCATGGATCTGCAAGCACGGTACAGAGTTGCAAGTGCGGGGTACGGGTGCGGTGTAACACGCGTGACCAATACATTGAAAGTGATTCACGCTGCAGCTGTGTGAGTTACTAGCGTGCCAACGCTACACCTTCCTTCTTTAAACAGAATCACGTCCTCGTGATTAGTAGCGGTTTGGTGGGCGGATCATTTGGCGGTTCCGGAGATTGTAGGGGTGAACTGGAGGTGGAACTACAGGGGCAGGAGGGAGCGGCTGAACAGGTGGTAGCATTACGGGGTGAATGATTGGAGTGTAAGTAGGTGGAGGTGGAGCAATAGGCGGTAGGCAGACATACCGTTTCAGGCGGTTGATGTGAACAACTTGACGGCGTTTCGTTCGGGAAGCTTCGATGCGGACTGTGAAATTGTCGAGAACAGTGACAACTTGGTGGGGCCCTGTCCATGGAGAATGGAACTTGGGAGACTGGCCAGCAGGAACAACAGGTGAGTGCAGGAATACCAGATCGCCTACGGCATACTGTGTGGGCGGAGCGTTGCCATCATAGTTCCTCTTCTGACGTTGTTGGGCTTTGGCACCTTGGGC